ATTATCACAACTTGTAAATTATTGTTTCATAAGAGGCAAATAGTATTTTTATCGTTTGTTTTTATTGTCAAAAATATGTTCCTGTTTTCTATCTTTTTTGTCACAAAATTCCTCTAACCAATTGGTAAAATTTTCAATAGAAATTACTTTGACGTTTATATTCACAACATATTTTCCCTACTGTACCTTAAGCATTGATGGTAACTTATCTACTAAATCTTTAATTATTTGAGGATTAATTTAATATTCTGTGATTTTAAGACTTTTAAGAATCACTATTGTATTTCTCAGGATATTGGTCACATCAATTATATTATCTTGATTTTCTTCTTTAATAGGTTTTATATAATCTGTTTAGGCAAAATACCTGTTCAATGATGTCTTTAGTCTTTCCAAATCGTTTCTCAAGAATACACACTACATGATCAATTTCATTTGGAAAATTTATTAATGACGAAACCTGTTATCTGTCTTCAGATTATACATCGTTTTGTTCCAACTTTTTAATCCATTCTGTGGTGTAATTGTATTTAGATACATCTGAAATAGTCGCTATTCCTGTCATTTCATCAATTTCAGACTTTTGATGTTTTAATTTTATTCTTACTCTTTCTTTTTCTCTGTGTAACATATTTCTTTGTTTTTCTAAGTCGATTTCTAAATTTTTTAGTTTTCCAGTTTGTCTAAAGGTACCAGTTCAGCTTGTAATCTGTCTTCTTAAAGAAATTTTGGATTTACTAGTAGACCTTTTACTTTTTTCAGTCATTTTATTACCTATATATCTCTTCTCTGTGGGGTCGTTTACGTCGTTTGCATTACCATGGAGCTCTGGGACATCTTCTTTCGATTCGAAGTCGCTCTCTGGAGCCATCGTATGGTTCTAAAATATCTTTATTTGACCTATCATCAAAATTTCTTTACTCAATATCTTTTTTATTTAATAAATCACAATGATATCGTGTCTCATCATGGGGTGTTAATAGAGGAAAGTTTGACCACAAAATTGCGCGCGGTGTTTGATGCGTCGGCGCATACATCGAGTGGCGTCTCTCTTATCGATATTCAATATGTTGGACCCACTATACAAAATGATCTATCTATATACAATATTATTACGTTTTCGAAAACATAAATTTGTATTATCATCTAATATCGCTAAAATTTACAGGCAAGTTCAAGTAGATCCTAACCAGAGGAATATGCAAAAGATTCTTTGGAGAGAGAATCCTACCACTCTCTGAATACACATTAAATACGGTCACTTATGGCCAGGCCGCAGCTAGTTTTTTGGCCATACGTTGATTATTTTCATTAGCCGATGAAAGCGCAAAAGACTATCCTGAGATCGCAAAAATCATCATTACGTAGGTGATTTGCTCACCGGAGTCGATACGATTCAAGATGCCACGCGAATTTGTCATGATATTTCTAAAATTTTAAAACGCAGATGTTTCGAACTGCGAAAATGGGCTTCTAATGAACCAATTATTTTTCAACACATGCAGATTAATCAACCTTGTGGTGTTTTATATTTTTCCTCTGATCAATATGCTAAGAACATTGGTCTTACATGGTCAACTCAAAAGGATATCTTGGTGTATAATATAAATAATGAGGATTATATTAAGCATCAAAAATACACCAAAAGAAATATTCATGTCAAAATTATCATGCAAAAATTGTGGGCAAAGAAGATATCGTGGGACGATCCCATACCCTTTTTATTTACAAAATGCTTGGTCTAGCTTTCAGTGTGAACTTCCATTATTAGATAAACTTCTCATACCTTTACGTATGATTTGCGATAGTCCTATTAAACTGGAATTGCATGGGTTCGCGGATTCATCAGAACGTGCCTTTGGGGCATGCGTTTTTGTTAAAAGTATTAATTTTGAAGGAATCGTTCAGATCAGCCTTCCAAGTGCGAAGTCTAAAGTACCACCAATACAAACTTTAAGTAGTCCACGATTAGAGCTATGCGCAACTTTATTATTAGCTAAGCTTGTTACAATAATCAATAAATCGAACATTAATTTCAATAAGCAATTTTTATGGACCGATTCTACAATAGTTCTTGCATGGACAAAAATGAGTCCTGGTAATTTAAGAACATTTGTCGCCGACTGAGTTTCCAAAATACAAATTTTTAAAATAATTTTGAATGAAGGCATGTCGCAACTCATGAAAATCCCGCCGATATGGTGTCCAGAGGAGTATATCCTAGTTAACTCCATAACTTGGACATTTATTTGTTCAGCCCTAAGTGGTTAGCATCAAATTAAATTATTTATCCAAATAATTCAACCAATCCAGACGAGGTGCCTCAACTAAAATCTAACATTTTTTTGTGTCAAATAAAATATGATTTTCCATTTAATAAATTTTCTCGTTTGCTCAGAGCTGTAGCATATATATTAAGATTTAAACATAATTGTCTTAATAAAAGCAATCAATTAAAAGGTTATTTAACAGCACAAGAATTAAATCATTCTTTAACAACAATCATTAAAATCGTTCAAGTTCAATCATTTCCTTGTGAAATTTTAGTACTTAAAACTAATAAGCCTTATAAACTCGAAGGACAAATTATAGGTATAAATATTTATCCAGACAATAAGTCTATACTTAGGGTATGAATGCGATTGAAACATTCTTACTATCCCTTCAATAAAAAAACATCCAATATTACTAGACTCTAAACATCATTTTACAAAGCTATTATTTCAATTTAAAAATGATGAATTGCTACATCCAGGATCCCAATCACTTCTATACAATATTAGAGACACTTATTGGCCAATAAAGGGACGTAATCTAGAAAGGTATGTAGTTCACAATTGCTTGAGGTGTTTTCATTTTAAACCGAACTCGATAACACCAATAATGGATAATTTACCTTCTGAACGTATCGTCCCTTCTAGCCCATTTTCTGTGGTAGGTGTTGATTATACTGGTCCTGTTTTTATAAAGGACAAAAAGAGTCGCGGTTATCACGCTATAAAGGTATATTATTTATATGCTTTGCCACAAAGGCATATCATTTGGAGTCAGTTTCTGATTTAACTTTCCAATAATTTAGGTGGTTAATCTCTAGGAGAAGTAAACCTAACAAGATTTTTCCGATAATGGCGCAACATTTGTTGTAGCAAAGAAGGAACTCTGTATCTGTATCTGTAACGTGTGGAGGGTGGGTTACCCACACGGCACTTAAGCCTCATTAAGGCCATTGTGCATCCTCCTAAGATGACAGGCACCTCCTAGCTCGTGAGTCAGCCTACAGGTTTAATATAGTTGACAACGTCGCCAAGAGGTGCTTTTCTTATATCGGCCGGTGTTAGCCGATACTCGCCGAACACACAAAGAAGGAACTCAATGTGTTCTTGAAATCCAACCAAAATAAATTAAAATTTTTTTTCGCAATGCAGGTAATAGAATAGGAGTTTATACCTGCCTATTCTCCGCATCTCCAGAGGTCTGTGGGAGGCCGGTGTAAAAAGTACTAAGCACCATTTAAAGCGAGTTATTTATAATGCATGTTTAACGAGGAATTATCGTCTGTGCTATGTCAAATTGAAGCGATGTTTAATTCCCGTCCTATATCCCCTCTAACCACCGATCCTAACGACCTAAATCCACTCTCACCTGGCCACTTCCTTAATGATAAACCGCTAACGGCTGCATCTGATGAAGCTGTCACTAATATATCTCTTAATCGCCTGACTAGATTTCAATTGGTCCAACGGCTTTTTCAGGATTTGTCAGAATCGCTGGTCAAAGGAGTATGTTTCCTGTCTCCAGAACCGAACGAAACGGAAAGACAACTCCGACCTTCTTCAGGAGGGAATGATGGTGCTCATCAAAGAGGATAAAACCTTTCCAACTTAATGGCCTCTTGGAAGAATTGAGAAACTACATCATGGAAGTGATAAGATACCAAGAGTTGCTACAGTTCGAACAGGAGATGGTCTAATCAAAAGAAGCTTCCCTAGAATTTGTGCTATTCCCATGTTGAAAGAGGATTCCTTCAAGGCAGGGGCATGTCTACGCCTATGCCATCTAAGAACGCTTGATTTCAGGAGTTTTTGAAGTGACACTTAAAATAATTAAGATAATTTTGAAACACATTTGTCAATGACTTTTTATATTCATGTTCTAGTTATGCTTACAATAAAGAGTTCTAAATAATTACAGTCCACAATCAATGCTCTATAATTCAACACATCGCTATTTTTGTTTACAGTATGTTTTTATTAACCGATATTTCCAAAAATCTATAGAACAAACCAGAAACATTATTCTATTTATTTACTAAATAAATATGTGTGAAATTAATATTTATATTCAGATACACAACAAAACATTTCGGAATTCCTGTTAAAATTTAGTCAATATAGGGGTCTATTCTGTAATAATTCCTTTATATTTAACGGCCTTTAAAAATATTGGCGGCCTCTAAAAGTATATTTGTATTCGTTAATTTACTTCTGTCATTATTTAAACAGATTTCTTTAAGATAGTCCTCTAATGTATTTTAAAGATCCGTTTAAATAATGCCAGAAGTAAAGAAGAAAATATTTTTAAAGGTCGTTAAATATAAAGGAATTGTTACAGAATAGACCCCATTATAGAAATATTTTTAGTGCAACTAAAAACAGTAAATTAAAAAATGTTTCATAATAAAATAAGACAACGACGAAGGTCGATCCTGAAGTAAGTGTAAGAATGTTGTGGGTCAAATCATGATACTGTAGCTAGGGTTTCTGAGATCTATGAACAACTCCCTTGAAAAATGTCTGGCTACGCCACTGGTGGAAGGGGGGTATCATCTGATTTAATAGTAATAATTTAGTTTATTATTAGAAATTTACTTCTGTAATTTTTATATCGATTGCGATTATAGTGAACATAATAAAAATATTTAGAATCTTAAATATGTTTATCAAAAACATTGATCTACTGCAAAGTGGCAAGAGACATTTTCAAAGAATTTAAATTATATATTCCTCTCGACCGTTCCGCGTAGAATTAAATATACCGCGTGTCTGGATAGACAGGAACTCATCTCTTACTCACGAACATTGCAATAATAAGAACGAGGTGCGCGAGTACAGACGCAGACGTTGAGTCGTCTTTTATTTTTGTCCATCTCGACAACGTGGGCCAAAAAAGTAACAACTCTTTTGACAAGATGAATCTCGGCAATCTCAGTGAACGGTGAAATGATGATAAATAAATTAAGGGAAAGACTAATTGAAATTTTTTAGGGACTAATGATTTGAAATATATGTGTGTTGAAATGCGCGAGGGCGGAAGTCTGGTGCTGTGTTTTCTTGTTTTGTTTTCGGTTAATTTGGTTAAGTGTATTACTGAAACTCCCGTGTTAGGAAACAAGGCGTCGAGATGTTATGATGATTTTAATAGACCGCAAGTAAGACTTTTTTCTGAAAGAATTTATATTATGATAATAATACTTTTATAAATATTGACAATTGTAAAGGGAATCCCCTAAGATAAAAATATTAATTGATGAAAACATAACCACGTGAGTTAGAAATAAAAACCAATAGATGAACTGACTTTCTATACTTTTTCTCAGAAATAAAGGGAAAATCATTTTTGGTTTACAAAATTTTGATACGTTTTGTAATTTTGATTTGCTAGCTATTATTTTTTTTCTTATTACAAAGAAAGGAAGTGATTTCTAATTTAAAATTTAGGTTAGTGATGGTTTTTGAAAGGGGGGCAGTTTGATAGAGGATTGAAAAGATTTCTTTATAAAATATTTGTTCCATAAAATTTTATTAAATTATGAAAATTATTTTTTATTCAAATCATTTTAGATAGAGGGTTGAAAAGATTTTGTTTCTGAATAAAATATTTGTTTCATAAAATTCTATTAATTAAAAATTATTTAAGATAGAGGGTTGAAAAGATTTTGTTTCTGAATAAAATATTTGTTCCATAAAATTCTATTAAATTATGAAAATTAACTCTTTTTGATCCAAATCATTTTAGATAAATACGGAAGTGACATTTACAAAACCATGGGGTGGATTTGGGCTTAGCATATAAAATATATTTAAGTGTCATGTTACAACAAACGATTTCAAATATGTATCCTTTCAAAATGCAGCCCTATATATAAATTATTATTCCTTTAGTCAATAAATAATGTGACGCCTTTTGGTCATATTTTAAACAAGTAATTATTTTATTGACATTAAGATGTCTTCAACAATAAACAATAACCTAAAAATACATTTTGTTCTTAAATAAGTTTGTATTAAATAAATTAAAAGTTATTTAATAATTTTCATTTTGAATTCCGCTCTCGATAATTTACTATAGTAACAAAGTCTACATAGAACACCTATCTTTAAAGAAAAAATCTAGAATAATATAGTACTGAGAGAAATAGATTTGCTTATTTCCACAAAAATCAATTAAAGACATACGATTAAAAAATAACATTCAAGATTAAATAATATGCGTTTCATTAGACAAAAAAGGCTAAAAAAGATTAAGCGGCCGATGTGCACACAACATTTTTTAGGCGACTGTGGGGTCTATTCTGTAACAATTCCTTTATATTTAACGGCCTTTAAAAATATTTCCTTTAAAATACATTAGAGGACTATCTTAAAAAAATCTGTTTAAATAATGACAGAAGTAAATTAACGAATACGAACATATTTTTATTCGCTCCGTGCGAAGTCATGGAAAGGGAAGCAAAAGCGATACTAGCGCTAGCTGCGGATAATTCGTGCATTTTAGGGGGATATTTTGTAATTTTGGCATATCAAATACACGTATCCATTTTACTTTTTTTTAAAAAAGTAGGTAAAAACAACACAATAAGCAACCGGAGTTGCTGTGTTGAAAATTGTACAAATACTAGCAAAAAAAAAACAGTGAAACTTATATAACAAATTTCACTAACAAAGTGGAAATTAAATCAAAGAAATAAATGGATAAGGTGTACAATAAGAAGAAAAATTACCTTTATTTTTGTGATAATAACAGTAATGCTGGAAATAGTAGACATCAGAAACTAGAAAGTTTTTAAATAAACAATAAATTATCATTTTACGATGTTCTTTAATATCCCTTTATTCTTAAATATTTATTCAGCAAGGACTAGATTTCAAGATTTCTGCCGTTGATTATAATATTTGGCTGGTATGCAATTTTGTGACTTACTGATTGGAAACCAGTTTTAATCATTCATTCTATGTTTTCTTTAGAACAAAAATGAAAATATAAGTAGCGATCCTTTTTATACATTTTAACTTCACGCTATTATAAATGGTTTCTTCAATGACAACTTATTAGACTTAGGCAACTTCTCATACATTTTCCAGTAAATACTGTTGCCTGCCTATATTTTATTATTGATTTTTAATGATTATACATAATTTTCTTCAATTTAAGCGTGAAAAATATATAATAATAATAAATTAATGTTTTAATTGTTTTATAAATCCATATACTTTTATTAAAACTAACATATATACTTTTTATTTACGAATTCTATTAAAAATTGTATTTGTCAGTATAGGCAGAAATACTCCTTTAATACCAAAACAAATTGGCGCTGCTGTCGCGCACGGAGCGAATAGGCCGCCAATATTTTTAAAGGCCGTTAAATATAAAGAAATTGTTACAGAATAGACCCGTGTCTCATCAAGTAGGATCGACATTTTTTTTACATTTTTGTTTCTGAAAAGAAACTTAAATGGAAGAATAATCCCAAATTTTTATTGGTAACAAAGATTTCGAAAAATCGAAAAATCGAAAAATCGAAAAATCGAAAAATCGAAAAATCGAAAAATCGAAAAATCGAAAAATCGAAAAATCGAAAAATCGAAAAATCGAAAAATCGAAAAATCGAAAAATCGAAAAATCGAAAAATCGAAAAATCGAAAAATCGAAAAATCAAAAAATCGAAAAATCGAAAAATCGAAAAATCGAAAAATCGAAAAATCGAAAAATCGAAAAATCGAAAAATCGAAAAATCGAAAAATCGAAAAATCGAAAAATCGAAAAATCGAAAAATCGAAAAATCGAAAAATCGAAAAACCGAAAAATCGAAAAATCGAAAAATCGAAGAATCGAAGAATCGAAAAAACGAAAAATGGAAAAATCAAAAATCGAAAAATCAAAAATCGAAAAACTATCTTCACCATAGGTCCGTGATGTTAGCAGTACTAAATGCGAATTTTCATAAAGCGAAGTTGTCATTCGTTTGTCCACGATTTGAGCACGTTTATCCAACAAAAATTTTCGTTTGTCCACCCTTAAAAATGTTACGACTAAATTAAACAATTAAGCCAAATTTTTACATCAGCACCACCATAACGACTTTTTGATAATTTCTGAGTGGCATTCGATTGTCCATGATTTGTTCACGTTTTTCCAATCAAAAGTTTCGTTTATCCACCCCCAAAACCAAGAAATTTAAATAAAAAAAACCACATGGTCTTTAGGATAAACGCGAGCACAACGTTAATAAATTATTTTCATTTTTCCATCTAACAGAAATAGTTATTAACAAAGTACTTCAAATAGAAATTTTTTAAAATCAACTATCACCGCTGTGCCGGTCTGAGTGGGGGTGTTAGGTTTAGTTTCGTTACGGAATTACGGAATTTCTTGATTCGGTCGCCATGCTCAAAGCTCGCGATAAAAGACATACAATAGCTTAAAATTTAAATATGGAAAAAACAGAAACATTTCATTATTTTTCACTGGAAAGAATTGTCATACAATTTTGTATTTGTTTTCAAATTATATATGACATACTGGAAAAATAGAGATAGCCATTAGCTTTTCAAAACTTAATACATTTAATAATGCTATTGCAGATCTAACAAAATTGTTTCCTGAAATATCACTAACTAGTAAAACTCTTAACAATAATGAAAAATTTCCATTTGAACTATCCTTTAATAATATTTTAAACTTTGAAAAAATAATCAAAATCAAAAGCTATAGTAAAAATAATAAAATTGCATTTCTACTTGAAATATCCATAGTAGAAATCAATAATTATAACTACTATCACCTGTATTCTTTACCTCTATGTTCCATAGAATCCTTTAAAACCATTTTTCCTCAATTCAAATTTTTTCTCTCAAATGAGCAGCAATATGCACTTTCAAACTTGAGATGCAAAGAAGTTACTCAAGATGGATTCATCTGCCAAGATGTCCAGATCTTAAGAATTTCTCCGAATTCCCCTTGTAAAGTTCAGCTGTTGAAATATTCAAAATTTATCAACAAATGTCGACAACTTCCAGTAGATGTCAGCGAAATAAAAATCCAGAAATAATAAAAGAAGCAATGGATTGTTATCACACCCCATAATGTAGTTATTTAATAGAACTTAATAATTTGTGTGAAGTGATCATAGACAGTTTTTCTCTAAAAACATTTAAAATCAAAATTCCGAATTTTAGAAATATAGAACTACCAAGTTTAAAAATATTCAAAAATATTTTTAAAACCTCAACAATAACCTTAAAACCCGTGCAAATAAACTCAATAAACTTAATAAACTTAATAATATTCATAGTGCACTCCAGGAAGATAAATTGAAATTAGAAGACATCGACACATCCTATGTGCATTTTCAAAAAATTAAGTTTTTATACAATTATATTATATATTATAATTATTTCAGCAATCATTTATGCAGCTTCCAAATTTTATATTACAAAGAAGTTGACCGAGAAAAAGAAAAAAAAAATACTTGTGGCACTCGGAGACTGCCCCGGTAAAGCTATTGCATAGCATTTTTTATCAACTTATGCAATTATAATTGTTTATTTATTTTATTTAATGCAGTATTTTTTTTTTCTTTGATATTAATACAAGTTTTTTTCTTTGATATTAATTCAAGTTTTTTCTTTGATATTAATTCAAGTTACACTTTTTGAGCGTGGTGACCGGTAAGAAAACAATTTTTTTTTCTTTTATTGAATAAATGAGAAGTTAATATTTTTATTATCTTACAATACATGTAGGTTATTTAGGAATTTTTATCATTGAAACTATAGATTTATGGTAACTGAAATAAGAAACATAAGTTTGAGACTTGATATCCTTTAAATATCTAGAAAATACCGCGTCAATGGTGGTCCCATATTTTGTTGTGGATTCTTGTGGATCATTATTCATTTTCAAATTCAATTTTTCCGAAATTGTGTCTAGAAGAAATAGAATCAGTTATTAGCAGTTAGCAGCTAGTCTACACGCATACGTCTAGTCGCACGCACACAAACACCGTGCCGAAGTCTGCTGAACTGAAACGACGTTAGACGATGCACGGCTTTCAACGCCGCACCGGTCGGAGTGGGGGGTGTTAGGTTTATTTTCGTTACGGAATTTATTTTCGATTTTTCAGTTTTTCGATTTTTCGATTCTTCG